GCCGGTGAACTCGTCATCCAGGTTCTTCCTGTAATGTACCCGGTGCCCGTAGAAGTGCTTTTGAGAATGTAATTTGCCTTCTTTTCAGAATAAGGGCTTTAGAATAAGCCACTAGGAGCTAAAAGTCTGCTCAAATAAGCAAACTTGGAGGTCTTTTATACTTTTTGCCGGCAGCCGAGTTCGATCTGCCTGGGACTATCCACTGAATTTTTAAGGGAGACAAGTGAACCAGTTTACCACTGACGGTGGTAGTACTGGGCTGGCACTTGATGAGAGTTAGGCGCTTTCTCCCTCAATACTCCCATTGACCATTAAACCATTTTAAAGCAAGCATTAACTAGTTTACCATAGTTAACGGATCAGATATTTGTGAACTGGTACAGAGGAGGTCTAAGTGCTCACACATGTAAGTTCTGAGGATCCTAAATCAGAGAGGAGAAGCCTCATCCAAAATTTATTGGATAGGAGCTTGACAAGTCAACTGACGATGAGCGTATTTTTCTGTTAAGGTTTTGGCCAAAGGAAATGAATGAGTGAATAAAATTATCAGGATAGAAAAATCCAATCGCGAACACTTTAAAAATAGACGTTTTTAGCCCTAAATTATGTGGTGATTGCTGACTGTTTCAGAAGTCGTAACTCTTAAAGTATGTGCACAACCATTTATCACGAAGTTATTTCCAACAGAACAACGGGCTCCAAAACATTTTCTGATACTGATCTAGAGTGTGCAGCCGTTCTGAATTGCCAAGGATGATTATCCAGCTGCTGCTGTTTTACTTCTAGATGAATAGGAAGTTCTTTCCTTCAAAACAGTACTTCATACAGCATACTTTGACTGGTGAAACATGAAACCACTGGCAAGAGACTTGGTGTCTGAATGTATTAAGTAATGTAACAGCACACTCTGTTAAAGTTAGAAAATGATCAAGTGCTTCCACGCTCTTTCTCTTCAACCTGTGCGAAAACAGTTACCAGTGATGTAAGCAGGCGTTTTCCTTTTCTTCAAACTTCAATTATAAAGGTTACTTTTTCAGTTTCGGCAATCAGCTTTTACCATTTGGTAAAGGTTTTAATCCTAAGAACATCCGTAAATGACGCTCACTCCTTGTAGTGTTACACAAGTTCCAAGGTTTATTTGACACTTTCCTTCAAAAAGGCGCACCGCCAGTTGAAATTCGATCAATTCACGGCTTTGGATAACTGGAATCTCACCAGCATCTTCTGAGATAACTTTTAACTTACCTGAACATACAGAATATATTATGCCCAATTTCAACCAACTACTCGTTCCGCGTTAGACGTAGGTGCATCGTCCAAAGGAGCATTTACAGAACTTGAGCAAAATAAGCACTCCTTTTTGTACATATCACCAACTTACCAAGAGGAAAAAGGCTGTAATCCACACAGATGCGGACTGTGAACCGATTGCAAAAGTATCCCCTTGTTATCAACTTAACATTTGATTAAAAATTGATTAGGTTCAATCATGACCAAGAGACACCTCTGTACAGTCACAAGAAGTGTTCAGGCAGTATCGTAAATCCCCCTTGAGTGCCCTTGACCACGGCAATGAACACCAAAAGCCAACACTAAAAGCGTGTTGATGATAGTTCACACAGATCAATCCATATTGTCTATCCAGCAGCTGGTATATCCACTGGAGCTAAGTTGTGTGACGCTGTTTAGTATACAGGACGCAAAACAATAATGAAGGAGATCAAACCAGACAATCCACGGGGACAAGCTTGGAGGGAATGATTTTACGGTGCTACTGATCAGGTTTTGTCCTAGTGATCGGGCTACTATTGTACCCACGCTGTGCGATCGTTAGCATCAGGAGTAACACCTAATAGCGGAAACATGGAACCCGCAGCCCACATGAGCGCGAATTTACTGAACGGAAGATCCGCCATACGAATCCGACCTCTGCCTCTCGATTTCTCCTGTCTAGGCTTGGGTGACCTGGCAGTATCCCAGCCCTAGTGCTTCCTTGGTGTGGCATGGCAGCTAGGCACTGAAAGGGTGTTACAGCTGAAGGATTATTATTATTGTTGCCAAACAAAATCCTAGCTTTCAAGGTTTTGTTTCTGTTGCTTGCATAAAAGTATGGCTAACAAACAGATGTGACAATTCATTGAGTGTTAAAGAATTTTGTGGAGTAGTCACGAGTTCATCAGTTAGCCAGGTGATTGAGGCCGCGTACTCGATGAAATCAACGGAGTCAATACATCGTTGGTCACTTCATTCAACTTTACAATTATTATCTAACCGGCTGGCAAGGAGAATGTTTCAGATCTATTCTGAAAAAATGAATTTGATTCGGTTCAACTTAAGCAAGCATTAATGAGGGCAGCCTACGCATACCCATGCACTTCAGATAAAGTATGATCTTAGAACCCTCCGACTGCGTGCTACGATCTCAAACTGCGTCGGGAAGCAACCGATCGGGAAACCAAAAAAGCTACTAGCAGCACTGCGTCAACCGATACATCAGTATATAGTGCACAATACGCCTAGTGTTGCTGCCATTTAGCGTCTTATCGAACATAATCAGTACCGCAGAAGGGATGGAATCGCTGGCGCTTGTATGTCCCCGACACAACACACTTGAAATATTACTGTTATGGTTTACGTCAAATTAAAAACGCACGCCATTGCCCAGTGAACAGTAAGGAATATTTCAGAGTTCAGAGGTACTGAATGTACTATTCGACTAAGAATTGAACCTAACATTCATAAGGTTGATAAGCGTGAGCACATTCTTCCCGTACCATGGGAAATTAATGACATTTTGAACAGCTAATGAGTAACTAACGGAATATCGGAGCCAACACAGAAGCAAAAATGTCAAATATTGAATTTCTGTGGAACAAAACGGCAGATTCGAAGGATATTCGGCGAAACTCTGGAAGATAGATTCCCAGAACTGTATTCAGAGTTAATTAAGTTGCAGCAGTTAGCACACGTCAAACGTACCCAGTGGCGCTCACAAAATTGAAGATAAGGTGGACAAGTCGTTCTTCCCTTGGGCCTAGGCTATCAACTACTTCAAACTGGGCGAAGCGATCAAAATCCAACTTAACTGGAAGTGAAGAAGCTGACTTAGTCTATGATTCGAATAGTTGTTATCATGTATAAATTAAAAAAGGGATTCCACAAATAAAAGCGCATGTCATAAAACATTGTCGTATGGAAAGCCGTATAATAACATGACAAAGAAAAAACTCATAAGCAGAGTGGATTCAACAAAATCCTGTCTGTCATTTTTCGACAGAGCGCATTCCTACGTTCCACCCTGCCAAGTCCTCCAAAACGCGAATTTATAGTGGCTTCAAAAAATTTGACGAGTTATATATGCCAGGTCCAGGAAACCACTAATACCGCGTTTTTCTAATGGTGGACTCAGTGAAATGCATGGTGTGACGGTCAATGGGCATATTTAGCTGACACAAAAGGGTGTCACGACTGTTATTTAGTGATACACTAAGTACGATTTTACAGTTATGACACCGAACTGTTTCTCGGAGGAAGATTAGAAGGGAGGGAAAACCGTTGCCAGAAATGATAACTCTTATAATAGGGTATTAGGGAGAATTGCTGCCTGCTACGGGCAGACCTCACGGACCTGACGACCCGTACAAAAGTTAGTCAGGGGAAAAATACTGCATCAGCTATGAGGCTGGCTTGTTTATGCAGAGCTTGAAGGGCTTTTCCAGGATACTGATCTTTTAAAGAATATGCGGGTGACAGAAAAAGCTCTAGTGTGCAGATTATGTAAGCTGTACTGTACTGTACTTTAAACTGACTTAATTTGATCAGCACATGAGTTGTCCCCAATGGTTCTAACAGTTGAACGGCTGGTTCGGTGTTCTAGGCTGCGTGTCATGCAAAACAGACATGAAAAAAATGCTCTTGCGCTTCCACGTATGTTAGGAGTTCAGCAGCTTTCTGCTCATAAACCTTTCAGATAGCGTTAATCCTCTTTAACTATGTAGTACTTGGTGGTCCTAGTGAGACGTAGTGGGAGAACAATAGAGCTTGAACCGAATATTACTACACATGCAACTCAGAAGATGCCAAGACAAGGAACACGCAGCATTTGGATGGTTAACTATGATGTGAAGAATCTGGAGACACGTTGCAGAAGCAAGTTCGCCTCCTCCACACGAGAATGAAGAATCAGGATCTATAGCAAGATCCTTCAAGTCTACGAAAAACAGAGGTTCTCCGGAGCTGGAGGCAGGAAATGGAAGTTTCATACATATGCCTTCATTAGGAAAATCAGTTGAGAAGAATTTTTATCGGCCAACATGGAATATGTCAACCAAGTTCGTGGTCACCATGGACTAAGATTTTAGAGCTATTCTCGAAGTTCATTGTAGAAAGAGGTCGACTGTGATTTGCAATCCATGTGGCAGCCAGATTTTTTCTGTCTGAATGCCACTATCGGTGAAAGTATGGTAACTCCTATGCTTCCAACCGGTCATTGAAGAGAACAGTGTTCTTACGTTAATGTGAACTAAGTTGCCTGCGAAGGCGTGCTTTATACCGTTTAATTGGAATAAAAACTTCCGTGCGCAACCGATTTTCGGTAACCCGTAGCGGTCCAACCTACTTGATTCGCCGTCTAGTATAGCTACAGAAATAACTCGTGACGGAGCAATATGGGCGATTGCACTGACACCGGTTAATTAGAACAACACGAAAACAGGTGACATCGGTGTTTGAATGAATGTTGAATACTGAAGTAAAGGTATGCACGATTGTGGCAGTTTCCAGCAACGAGAAGGTTATTGCTTGAAATGGATCACACTGTACACGACCAGGGGGATAATACCCAAAAAATGCATGGAAAATCACGCGGAGAAAAGTTATTAATAGGACACTGGCTAATGGAGGCAGTTTATGTATACGAAATCGATGAAATCAAAATATACGTACCAAAAATCTTTCAACAGAGAGTTGGGTAACATATTTAACACGATAGGGAAACTTACATCATTTTGCCTGTGGTACAGTTTCAGGTGCTCTTCCATGAGAGACTTTTCTGTAGACATACTGGAGCACTGTAAACAAGAGTACGTCCAGAAACCAAGGGAAGATGGGTGTTTATTTCTCACGTGCTCTTTAAGAGTTGCTGGGTTCAGTGTGAGATAATCACACGTATTGCACCGCAGAACATGAACGTAGGAACTTTGTGAATGTGGAACCCGGGTAAGGTATAAGGAGACCGTCTTTGAAGCTGGATGTAATAAAGCACTGTCGTTTTTAATAACGCAAAAGTTATCAGAGGAGGTGTGTTTCAAAATTGAATTGCTCAACGCCATTGAGGTAATGTACTGTTTGAGAATTGGGTCATGAAGTTGGTCCATTTGCCTTGAATCCCAAACTTCTAAGAAGAGCATACACCATCCGACCTCATGCGTCGATGTGCAATAACTGCAGAGTATTTTCAAGAGTCGCGCGCTGGTTAGCGTACAATTCACTCAAGTGATGAGAAAACGTGGCGTTGAGCTTCAGTTCAATAGGCATTTGTGTTGCGGAAGGCTTCACGGGCATGGTGCAAAGATGTTAGGTTCACTGACGTGTCTGCTCAATAGGTGCTGTCGAAGAAAAATATAAATGAAATGGGGAAACTAAGCAGAAAGTGGCAACAAGCAGCATTTCCGTGTTAGTGAGCCAGCCAGTCGGAGAATAGTTCGGCAGCATACATTCCTCGGGTTCAAGCCCAGCCCAATCCAATCTGAGCTCGTTCCTTGGCTGGATTAGTTTTTGACTTGTTAGGTTCAATACAACTTGTTCTGAGCCTCTCCGACACCGACGTCTTCACCTTCATTCTGCAAAGCTTCACCGGCTTTCTTCACAGCTGAACGCAGTATTGCTGGCCGTCAAAGCGACACGAGCCGTGGCTGTTTGTCCATGGGTTGAAGTAAGGCCTATCAGTCTTCTGACAAATATGCCTAAGGAACACGATCAAGCATCGTGAAAAACGTGGGTTTTAGCGTATGGAAGACAATAGCCCATCGCTGCCAGAAAGGAACAGTTGGTTAACGAAGAGCCGTAATGGTGCTTCAAGCAACGGCTTTCAGTGAGGTTGATGTCAGCGCAGCTAGATTCGAGGAATGCATTCGCTGAAGCGCCGCATATCCACTCCATGTCGAACGGTTTAAACCTATTTTCAAACTTACCAGCGGATAAAGAATTCAGGTTTCACAACAATCACCCTACCTTTTTGGGGATGAGTGATATGGGGAATTTCCAAAAATTTCTGAAACTTTGTTCTTGGGGTTTGTTGCATTCAATGGGTTAAATGGTCTTTGGATGATTACTGCGACTAATATTCCCTAGTTTCTTGAAGTATCCTCTGACCTTCCTTCCATTTACCCACTGTTCAGCCCTGACTCCAAGCTGATTATTCAGCATAAACACTTCGATCAGATCGCCCTCCGCCATGTGTCTAACAGGCCCGTAGAGACCAAGATACCCAGGTAAAATTTGGGGCATTCTTCCGTGGTAACAATGCCTCAGTTATATCATTTTGTGCGTTGTGTCTAGCTGCACAGTTTTCCCCTGAAGCGGAGCCCTTCGACTAGGTGCGGTACTCCAGGCTACGGTGAACAAGGAGCGTGTGAATTTAGTTATAATTTGGAAGGCTTTAGTGGGGGTCCAGCGCCTGATATCACCCCGCTACAGTAAGGACATCCGTTTGGGTGTTCGCTCTATCGCAGAGCAATTTTTTTATTGTCACTTTAGTCGCGAAGAGAAAACAATTACTATCGAATCCGACAGTAGATGCTCACATTGAGGGGAGCACTGGACTTAGAAACGGGCCCCATGTATTTCCATTAGCAACAACCGCTGATTCCGATCTGTCTTCAACCGGCCTGCTTCATTGTTGCACAAAACTGCTCACCCAAACGCATGACACCGGAAGCAAAGAGTTTGCGAAGGGGAAAGTGGTGACCAATAATCGGACGCTTTCTTTGGGTCAAGATAGGTAAAATCAACCCTTCATCTCGTGTCCAGTGAATCTTCTATGCCATGTTGCAGGTTTGTACGCTTTCATGTTCCACCGGATTCATCAAACCGCCGTCCGGCAGATATTGGAGTATTCTTCGAGGAAATCCTTCAACTGCTCTAAATGAAACTTTTTAGACTTGCCGGGTGGTATTGCGCTTGGATCATTACTTCAGAGGACCAGGTTGATCGAGCAACCCCCTTAATTTTTGGCGAAGTCCTCTGGGGACTGTATAAACGACTAAGCTAAGGGCCATGTCCAAACGTCCGACAACACTTTGGCGCGCCAAGTCGTATGAATACCTGGATAGAGCGTGCTATAACCTGATTCGTAACTTCTTTGAGGTTTATGTTGAGCTCCGTATTACACGGCCCTGTCTCAGTAGTGCAAGCGGCAAAGGGCATTTCAAGGATATTGTTCTGGAAATCCAAGCCGAAATACAATAGCAGCTTCAGCAACATTTCATCGCCCTCTCTATTCGTTTTAACTATTACACCACTCATAGCTCAAAATGAGCACGCATACATCCAAAGACACTCGTCTGACTTTGTGGGGTGTATAGACTGAGCAACCTCTCATACGCCAGCTTTGATTTGCTCTTAAATTTGATGGAAAAGTTTCTTGTCTGTTCGCGCTTAGAAAATTGGAAATGCTCAAATTTATTATTTACTGTTCTCCAAGCATCTCTCCGGTCTTTGGAAGCTTCGCTGTCCGTGCCCGTAGACTGTTGCTTTAAGGTCTGTCGAGTCCTTTTTGTAATGGTTCGCACCTGTCATTTGGTACCAGACTAGTGTGTCTGAGACCACTGACATCCTTTTGTCAAGGCTCCTGTCCGTCATAACGGTTTTGTCTCAGTTGACATTGCGCCAGTCTGCGTTCCGCCGACGCCTTCGCATATCTGAAACTGAGGGTTGAATTTAAACATCCTGCGAGTCTTTTCCAAATTTACCTGGCCAATTTTGCTCAAAGGGTTGCACACGTCGAAGCATTCAATATTCTTTTAAAACTGTGTACACAACAAGTGCAGGGGGTTGATTTTAAAACCCCCTGTTTTCTGTGGCGGTCCATTTTGCGCTGGCGGCCTGCAAGCTCACCATCACCCTCAACAACCGGCACTAAGGGCCGCTGGCTTATTCTTACTGGTATGTCCGGTCGGCCTCTGTTGAGCAATTCCACAGGGCGTCATCAACCTCGGATACAGCGGTCTTGTGACGGACGGGGGTTGGTGACCGGCGCCGTCAACGCCGGACGGGGAACCTCTATAGGTACATGCTTCCTATTCCAAATCACACATTCTGGTCGCGGACTACCGCTTAAGTATTCTTCAAGCGACCGGTTTCTAGCATCACCGTAACTTCCAAAGTTGAACCTCCGCCGATCTTCCGGGATAGGTCATCAACTTCAACAACCAAACATATTGGAAGGTGGGAGCCAGCTGTTGGTGTCGGTACTGTGGACGAATAACGTGATTTCATCCAAGTTGTTCCGGAGACCGCTATCATTTGTACACGTTAACCATATCTCCATGTTTTCGGAACGTCTTACAACCAATTCCTTGGTATATCGGTCGGAGGACCACGGGATCGTTTAGTTTCGCGTCACAAATTTGCCTGTGTACAGCGTGTACCTCCCGCGATAACCCCCGCCAAATCATCCCGGGGTCATCTACTTAGAAAAACTTCCTACTATCTGCTGTTATTCTGGTGCTATTTCAGCCATATTGACGCTCATTTCCGGTATGAACCGGAGGTGGTCGAGGCAGTATTTCCTCACCCTCGATGTACATATTTTCGTCAACTCAATGGCACTTCTAACATCACCTTTGATACCGATATTTTGTAATTCCGGAGCCCATCTGCTCACAACAGGTGGTAGTGAGTTAGAGTTTTGTAGAACTGGGAGGCAGTTTTTAAGCAATTTGTGAAGGCAGCCAGAATTAAGATGAAGACTGTGCAGTGCCACTAGCGGTGTAGTGAAATTAGCAGATGGCCCCGTGACACCAGTAAAGGAAGGACGATGGAAAAGTGAAAAACTCAGGTGCATTTCAAGGCTTAGTATGAATTTTATGGGGGTGAGGCCAAAGGATGGGGAAGGTGTAGGTGGAGAAAGTTCAGGTCAGTATTATGTTTAAATACGGATTACGAAGTGCAGCAACCCTCAGGCAGGAGCTTTTTAAACCAAGACAGCTGAGGAAGAACTTCTTTCGAACACCTTTAAAAGCTGAGATTGAGAGAGCATACGTTTACGGAGAATAAAAGTGGAGGATTGTAGAGAGGTTGAAATGGATGCGGTACTGCATACGGACATTATAGGAGCAGAAAAGTTTGTTTTGGGAGATTTTACTGCGAAATGCACAAGCCAGATGAACGTCACAAACAACAAGCGTTAAATTCCACGGAGAGCCACGTATATCCAAGCAGCATCAGTGGTGGTTAAGCCCATTTGACGAGTGTGTAACTCACGCTCGCCACCTTTTCACAGTGCAATTTCCACCGACACCACGTGCTTTGATGACACCGTTGGTCGTTACAGCGTTCAGCAAATCACCTTGAATTGAAAGACACGTTCGCCTCAACTAAAGCCTGTCAGTTTACATCCGACAAAATGAGAAAACTCTCGTACACGTTCATCCACACGTATGCGTATCATCAAACTCCGGTAGCTTCTATGTTCACCCAAAAACGAAATTTCGACATGTCGGTTGAAGCATGCGAGGTATTGAGCATCTTATTTGGTTTGTAAGAGCGGCGCCAAACTTTCATCGCCCAATCCTCTTCTATCCAAAAGTGGAATTTTTCTTGCATTTTAGTATTTTTGACGAAAAGCGTAGGGCTCAAACAGCAGTTGAAGCAGCTGTTTAGAGCGACTGCTTCGTTATCAAGTCGGGATCTCTCAAAAGAAATACGGATTGAGATAAGGCGTCGTCAAATTTACGCAGCTTCCTATCTCGCATGTTGGATTCAAGCAAGTTGACCAATCCGTTAACCAGTTAACTTTAAATATTTGTGAATACTGTTGTACGGCGGCTGTACGGAGAGCGTTTAAAAACCAGGCGTCAGTGGATATTGTTAAATAAAGGGAATAATAATAATCTTTATTCCATTATGATGGATGGCATGCCATCAAGTAATATCATATGAGCATGGGCAGAACGGATGCATGGCTGACGGGATTTGAAGGCACTGAAGAGTGTCCGGAAATTGGGAAGTGACGCAAATAGTGGACACCATCAGAGGCGGATGTTGTCACGCTAAACTGGTAGGATCGAACTGAGGTGATATAGGAGGCTAAGGACCACCGTTATTAGAGTTCCCCCATTTTTCGGGAACACACCAAGCTAAAGAAAGATTGTACCGTTACATTTTGGAGATAATGGGCAGCAACAACACAGTGGAGACAAAACTGAAACATATCGCCTGGCATACGATAAGAACATTGCATATTGCGGGAAATGAAAATCCGTTACAGTAAATCTGACGAAGCAGTTGTTTTGCGATGATCCTACCGGTTGATTTGAATTAAAAACCGTAATGACTGCTGAAGCTAAGTGGCCTAGGTTTTTCAGGTTTCTGGTCAGCGTCACAAAAGTGTAAGTCGGGAGGTTGAGCTGAAGTAATTCGTGATCTGGGTATATGGTGGCTTAAATATCATTATCATCATATACAGTGTGACCGTATAGACTTGATAGTCGCCCTGTTGTAGCAAAGTCAGGTGTAAAATTTTCCTTGGAGAACTAGACTTTGCCATCGAACGGAACGGAGCGCAAAGTGGACGGGAAATAACTGGCACTGTAGAGAGCACTGACGGAAAGTTCACTGAGAAGGTTAGATCCAAGCGAAATAATTCAGCTGATCAGAATGAACTTGATCCTGAGGCGCGTGGGGCCGGGGACAAAATTTGTTCGTATTGTAAGCAAAGGAGCAGTGATTTTACTTAAGTGGACGAGGGAGAACAGACAACAGTAGGGAGGGGATGTTTTCAGGTGTTCCGCCAGCCCGGAGATGGCGAAGCCGTGTCACCATTACACTGACATACTTTGATTTCCGGACATTCCAGTAACAAACGTCATGTTTAAAATGATCGGCCTGAAAATGCGCACTTCGGTGTGTGACAAGCTTTTGGGACTAGTACGGGAGATCAGAAAATGTAGAACACAACCCTATTTGGATCACGGGAAGCGTCAGTTTAGTTGTAGATCCATAACTATTAAAATCACTTGGAGTGGGTAACAACCATGCAGGGCTTTCGAAGCTTGGGATGAGAAAGGAACGCGATGGGAGCGGGAATAAGTATGGGGAGTTACCATATGGGATGGAGCCTTTTATTAGAAGAAAAAGTACCTTTAACTTTATTGCATTTATGGTGATGTCAAGTGTAAAGGTGTGGAGTTTTGCTTAGCAGCATAGCAATCAAGAACTGGTCCGGATCTTACAAAGTTAATCAACAATATCGCAGGTAATCAACAATTACCGCAGTTAATCAGTAACGCAACTCAACCGACGTTTCGCCATGTCTGACGAACATTCCGCCGACCTTCCTCCACTCGATTACTTCCCGCCGTCGCCCAAGCGAGAGCTCCCTATATATTTGAAAGACAGAGCTGCAGGCTTGAAATGGAGATGGCCAAAGTCCGTCGCGAAAGGGCTAACCTTCAGTGTTCTGCTACCGCTACAGACAGAAAACTCCAAGACTCCGTTAGACCTCCATCTCATCCAGTTGACCAGGAGGGGGCCATCACCCCCAACTACCATATGACGCCTCCAAAGAATCCACAGACGACGTCCATAACGTATCAACATCTTTCGGAACTGCTCAACCTCTGTATGGGTATGCCTCAGAGAAAGGTACCAAAGTTCGACGGTAACCCCTTGAATTACTGGAAGATTCTGAGGGGTTTCACCAGTGTTGGTCGCCCAATACGTTACGGATCCCGCGAATCGACTAGCCTTCTTGATCGATGTATGTGAAGGTGAAGCACGAGAA